GGTAACAAAATAATTTAGTCATTTCTACTGAATATCACTAACAAATCAATTTTCAAACCCAGTGTTGCAAAGTCTGTGATGTGTGTATATATGACACATACACACACAGGCCCCATTTATGCTGCCATATAATGCAAATTGAAATTGCATTATATGACCAGTGTAGACTCATATAATGCAGTTTAACTGCATTGAATTGCATTATATGAGTTTACAATGACCATATAATGCATTTTCAATCTGCATTATATAGCAGTGTAGATGGGGCTAGAGAGGGGGAGGGAGGTATATGGTAAAATAAAATAAGAGTAAAAGAAAATTGATCACTTGATCTGTCCAATTTCTGTAAAGCAATTCATAAAACATGAATTTGGCTCAGCTTCATTTTACGATGAGTACCTTTTAAAATCAAATGAAAAAGAGAAGAAAAGCTAACAATACATGCTTACTAATAGCTTTCACATTTTGTTGTTCTGCCATGATATTATTTTTAATTGTTTTTAAAATGTTGTTTGATTTTATGTTTATTGATATTTGATATTGACTGTTTTTTCGTGCTTGTTTTAACCTGTATCTGTTTGGGCATGTCCCTTTGTAAGCCGTCCCAAGTCCCTTTGTAAGCTGCCCCAAGTCTCAGGGAGATGGAGGCAGGGTATAAAAATAAAGTTGTTTATTATTATTATTATTATTATTATTATTATTATTATTATTATTATTATTATTCGCTATTTGCAAAGACTGCCTACATTATGGTGAGTCAATGTGAATTCCTGACAAACAGCCAGACTGCAAACCTCAGCTACTATTTATATACGACCACACTCCTGCATCCTAGTAGTACTCAGACAAATGAGAAACAATTTTAATAAGCAAGGGACAATCCATGGATCATATTGGCACAGGTGCTCTACAACTGCCTGTCAGGACGATGGGGATGGTGAGGAGGAGGATTTCCTCCCAGTAGCAGAATCTGAGCCCTAGGGGGATGAGCAGCCTGACACTGCAGAGACTGCTAGTGCTGAGCAGGAGCCGGACCCTCCAGAAATGGAGACAGGTGAGACAGCTTAGGGTGGATGCTAATCAGCTGTGCAGGTCCAAACGGTTAGCCCAAAGGAAGTTCCCAACTGTAAGGGCTTTGCAGGAGCAGTATAAAGTGCTGGGATTTGAAACAGCTCTTTGCTGGAAACAATCAGTGTGTATGGAATGTTTCCACTGGTGTCTTGAAGCTTGTATCTTGGACTTTGTGTGTGTGGTGTGTCTCTTGTATTGACCTTAGGAATGGACTTTTGGACTACTCTTTGTGACTTGAACTCTGATTGGACAATTGCTGTTGTTGACCTCTGACTACTCCTGCAAGGAATGGCTACAGTTGCCTGACACTGCCACTCTGAGTTCATCCTATGGTTTGATTTGAACATCTCATATCTAGAATGGATTTTCACTATCAAATCTTAATGTTTGATAAATAAATGTTAACACCTTAAACATTTTTACCTACCTTGGAGCTACACTGAGTTTTTCAAAAATGATCTCCCAAAGAACTGTCTCCAGAACATGGGATTTCTGGGAGTGACATTACAGCTTCAGACTGTAGCTTTGCTCGCATTGCAATGATAATTTCCAGAAGAACTAACTTCTGGAGTTGCAGATCCTGGTGAGAATGATATTACATGTGACAAAAGTTGTCACAGGACCCATATAAATGGACAGAAGCAAGGTAAAGATTTTGGCATGCAAGAATAGTCTATTCTACCTTATTTCTTTGGTCTTCTTGAAAACAGGTTTCCCTTCTTGTTCCTCCCCAATATCAAACAGATCTGAATATAACTCATTGTTCTTCTCATCTACCTGGAAGAGTGCACAGCGATCTGCATTCACCAGGTTTTTTGCATATATCTACAGAAAGAAAATAAAGCTATAATTTACTAATGTATGCTTAAGACAATGTCTACAATATGTTACATAAACCGAACTAACATGAATGTAGACTTCAATAAGCACTCTAGAAACACAGAGGCAATCATCAAATTAATTAGGCACTGATACAGAAATTCTATTTTTTATTTTCCATTTTTCTTGAGAAAAGAAGAACAGCCAGTTTTAAGTTAGATTAGGTATGGTCAAACCCAGGCCAGATGTGGACCCTTGGGGCTGTTCCTCGAACCTCAGCCCCTGGAACCAGTCGCTCCTGAGAGCTCTGTACAGCCACACTTCACACCCTCCTCTCAGCGGGAGGATAGGCCAACCCTTGACCTCCTCCATGGCCTAGCCCGGCCCAATTGTCCCTGGATGGCTCAGCATGCAGCCCCCTTTCTAAAAAGTTTGCCCATGCCTGGGTCAAATATTTTTCTCTGGAATCTGAATAAAGGAGAGTCTGGATATTTTAAAAATAATAACAATAAGAAGAAGAAGAAGAAGAAGAAGAAGAGGAAGTTAATTTTTATATCCCACCACCATCTCCCTGAAGGGACTCGGGGCAGCTTACAGGGGGATCAAGCCCAGCATACAACAAAGTTTACCAGCTAAAACACAGTTAAAAACATAATAGCACATAATATAACATAAACAAACTAATTAAAACAATTAATACTAAAAATGGATAAGCACTTAGTAAACATTGTTTTGAGTAGGACATGAACATATGTCAAAGGATAACCAAAAGGTGTTAACAACAGGAAATTGTTATAACATTGAATTTAAAAAACAATACTTTACCATGATATGTTCAAGTAGAGAATCTATTGCAACTATGTTATCAAAATATGTTCTGCAGAAGAAGGAACAATGTTCAGAAATGTTAGATTCTGGAATTACCTATGCTGGTTTTCAATTAACAATAAATGCAATTAGTTATAATATATTGCCAGGCTATATTTATGTATAAAAACTTAATAGAACAGTGGATTTATCAGGTATAATAAGGTAAATCACCTCTTCAGTAATCACTAGAGCTTTGAATTGTGCCCAGAAACATCCATTTTCCAACTATTTGCTTCCTTTTCTGTTTGCACCCATTTTTGACCCTTCCATTTCAAATTCTATTAACCTGGATAACTGACTTGCCTCATAGTAAACTATATTCCCAGATAAAAGGCTCCCCATCCAACCATTTCTTGTTTACCCTAAGTTGGAAATTATGTTTTTGTTTCCTCCCATCACCCATTTTTAGATAGTTATACTACTTCTTAAGGAAATTGTTAGAAATATTAACCAGGAGGGTTTGGAACAACTATAAGAATTCGGGCAAAATTTTCATCTTATACATTTTTAGCCTTGTGGATATATCCCAAAATTTCTTTCCCCATGTGTTAATTTGTTTGCTTATATTTTTCCATAGATGGTTAAAGTTCATTGGTATTAGGTTATTGAGATTTTTTAGGATATCTACCCCCAGGTATTTAAGCCCCCCCCCCCACACACACACACACACACAATTTCACTCCCATAATATTTTGAACCTTCTTGAGTTCTTCCCATGTTAGATTCTTATATAGTATCTCTGATTGTCCAAAATTAATTGTGAGGTCCGAAGTTTTTCCAAAGTCCTTAGTTATTTTAACTGTTGATTCTAATGAATCCTCCACCTCCCTAAGATTATCATAGCATAATCCACATAAAGATTGGTCCTAATTTCTTTCTTGCTCACCTTATAGCCTTTAATGACAGGGTCGTTTCTTATTGAATTCGCTAATGGCTCAATGGCCAATGCAAATAGGGCTGGGGAAAGGGGACATTCCTGTATGGTTCCCCTCTTGATATTTATTTGCCTTTTACTTTATTAACTTGCACATTCTCCCGCCCCATATTGCTTTCCTCAAAGAGTCTGTTCATGTATTTATGATCTAGTGAGTAGAACGTTTTGCAGAAGTCCAATTTTAATATGAGTAGATTCTTTTTCAGTGGAATGATTCAAGATGTTCAGAGTATTCCTTATGGGATCAGCTATGTTCCTGTTATTTACAAATCCATATTCGCTCTGCATTAGTTGACCCATAGAGCACCATTGGAAGTTCTTCTGTATCGTGAGATGGGAGCCAGCAGTCTCTGTGAATCAACTAGGGCTGAACCAATATATGCCGCCAAAGAAAGCTCCATCTGATTAGGTTGCTAGTGAGTCTTTTACTGTTCATCTCAAATAGAAATAAATAATGGATAGCTTTAAACCAACTTCCAGAGGAATGAGTAAACAGAGAGGAATAAAAATGTATTCCATTACCTCAAAAATATATATATACAATGCTGCTATTTTAATTATATTTCATTTGTAACTTACTTTGATACATCAAGCAGAAAGTCATTCAGTTCAGTCTGTTTGGCAAGGCCCCTGGACACCTGATGGAGATATTGTAAAAACTATTGCTTACTTAAGCAGAAGATTAGAATGAGAGTGAGTCTGTGGAACATACATCCTACCTATATTTTCTAAGAAGGACTACCTCGTATTACAAGAGCATATAAGCAGAAGCAACTACATACATGTCAGATTTTAAATTGAGGTCATTTATTGTGTAAATACAGAAACAACTGATAATTATTTCAATCATCTTTGAAAAATGGAATGTTTTATTTATGGGACAAGACTTTATTGCCTGTCCTTCCTTTGGATATAAGCACTGAATACAAAAACCTAGGATGCCACCTTATACCTAGCTCCATAAACCTATCCAGAAAGTTGAAGTGTTCCATTATCTCAGGGTTCTCAACCTGTGGGTCCCCAGGTGTTTTGGCCCACAACTCCAAGAAATCCTAGCCAGTTTACCAACTGTTATGGTTTCTGGGAGTTAAAGGCCAAAGGCCAAAACATCTGTGGACCTACAGGTTGAGAACTACTACTCTATAACAAAGATTGCCTTTTCTCAAGTTCTAGTAGTAGCAGCAGCCAATGAGACAGTAGCCCGAAGTTTTGCCCCGAAATTTTGTCCTTAAATTGATTATTTGAGAAAGAAGAAAATGAAAAAGTCACAAATTAAGACCTATATCACATATACATCTTGCCATGTTTATGTCTCATTTGGACAACAGAAATGCCACATGAGCCCGTTAGTTTGCGCTTTCAAAATTTTAACTTGGACTTTGAAGATTTTGCAACCATATTATATTGGTAACAATAGTGAGAAAGAAAACTGAATTAATGATGTCTATAAAAGTCTAAATGCAACTGTTAGTTCCAACCAGGATAGACATATACTTATGCAACAGCTGACTTTTCAAATTGTCTAGTTCTCGACACGTCATAGTTTGAATCAATACATTGCCTTTTGACCACAGAATTTTAATGATCTGAAGTTGTCCATTTTAAATTTAAACCCCACTAATTAAAATGATTTACATATACTTTGAAACTATAGGATTACAGACAATATAAATTATTTTTATATTTTAATTAGTGATAGTGACAAGAAATCACCTAAAATTAACATTTTTTAATAAAGACTTGCTGCAAAATCATGTTAAGTAGACCCAGTCTCTTTCAGTTTATAGATCCAATTTAACATGGACTTAAAATAATCTCTAGCAAACCAAACATAGCAATGATGACAAAGCCTCATAATGAGGTCTCTGTTAGGCCCTAGGAAATGCAATGCCTTATTCTGGCAAGTGAAATGCAATTCCAGGCAGGGCCATCAGGAACCACAAGAACTGAGCATATGAAGCTCATGATACTGATACCATCACGGGAGCTGCACTTACATCTAAGCTTGGAAAGGGGAAAAGGCTGGGAAAGGGAAGTGGATCTGGGGACAACTGAATGAATCCTATTATTACTAGAGTAGACTCACTGAATCACTGAAACTTATATACCATTTATTCAGAGAATCTACACCAGGTAAAGCTAACAATACGATTTAGATTGTCTTTGCTACATTATTGGAAGTACCGTGTGGTGGAACCAGGTTTAGACTAGATGCAAATTAGAAAAGGGATGGTTGCTCAACACAGTGAATGAAATAAATATGCCTTCCATTACATTGTTAAAAATTATTGAGAAGTTTAAGCTCTTCAGAAATAGTTCATTGGCTTCCAAAATGCTTAAAAAGTTAATCCAGATACTTACCTCCACCTGATGTATTGCTACTGAGGCCCATGCAAGATTTGCTGTTGCTACCTAAAAGAAAACACATTTTTTAAATTTTTCTTTGAAATAACATGTTCAGCCTTTTTGAGGTTAACAGCAACTTCTGACCAATTCAGTTTACAATATGTAAATAAACAGTGAAGTAATATTTACTCCATAAAACTGTTTTGTTCACTTTGGTTCACATATGCAGAAATACCAGAATTTAAATGTCATATTTAAATTATATTGTTAATATATAGTAAAGTAATGCTGTATAAGAAGCAAATATGGAATATGTGCAAATGACATTTGGAATGGACCGGTCTATGAGTAGGATCATGCGATTTTAATGCTTTTATTAGGTATTTTAATTCTTATATTTCATGTTTTAAATGTCTTTTTAATCTTATCTTACAGTGAATTGTCCTATTGATTTTATACCTAGTTATATGGTATTTATTTGAATTTTGGTTTATGTATATAAGACATTGAATTTTCCCATTATTTTTGTGTAAACTGCTTTGAGTCCCCCGAGGGATGAAAGAAGAAGTATATAAATACTATAAATAAATAAATAAATAAATAAATAAGGTTTTGTTAGTAGAAAAAAATCTGATAAATTTTATCTCTGATATCTAAGGGATGTTGTCAGAATCCAGATGCCTTTAAAAAGCCAGACACAGAGATAAAGTCCAAACTTTGAGCACCTCTCTTCCCTCCTCTACTACTCCTATCATCAGTGGTAATGTTACTAGGAGACTCAACTACAACAGATGTATTGCTGACATAGAACTCAGAGGCACTGTTTTGCAATTGATCTTTTGCTTTCTGGAAGGGAGAGCTTAGAAAGTGTTACTGAGGGATTCTATTACAGCAGGCATCCTCAAACTGCTGCCCTCTAGCTGTTTGGGCCTCCAACTCCCAGAGGCCCTGATGAGCTCGTTCAATTGTCACAAATTTTGGGAGTTGAAGGCCCACACTGCTAAAGGGCTGCAGTTTGAGGATACCTGCACAAGAGTCATCCCAAAAATACTGGAAGAAGTTGCCTGGAGATGTGAACTTTAGGGTCAACCAGTAAGTTGATGACACTCAACTCTTTTTCTTCTTTCCACTGACCTCCAAGGAAGCAGTTTCAGTTCTAAATCAGTGTCTGACTTTCTTTGTCATGATCTCTACACAGCCTGCATCTAAGTAGAGAGTCATGGTGACATACCAGATGTAAAACAAAGGTTATATCAGTTGTGACACAGTGGCAATTGAATGTTGCAGACACAGCTGTTCAGCAGAGGTCAAGACAAAGAAAGGTGGAATGAAATCTGGAACCCTTTCCTTGTCTCTCACACAAATAGTACAGCCCAACATCAACAAAAAATTGGTCTGTTCCTGAGGTCATTTGAGGTGCTGTTTTTAAAAAAATGCAGTGGATGGCGTCAGCTCTAGTTTCTAAGATATGACTATCAAGATTTTCTATGAGTAAGCAGAAGAAGACTGGCATGTGGCATATGTTCTGTATCTCAAAAGCTAGAGGTGATAGGGGAAAATTGGTGCCATTTTTGGAATTAGATCCAAAACAGGCCTAACATTTGAGGCACCTTGGCCAGTGTTATCTTATTCCCAAACTATCAGAAATATTCCCAAAAGTGAGCTCTACATACATTTAGAATCTATAAGTACAATTGCATAAAGACTATAAAGAAGGATCCAAGCATATATGTAGATAACCTTAATTAACATGTAATCCAATACAACGTTCATATTGCATTTAGTATACCTCTCAGGAATAATGTTGCTCAGATGCTTCAGATATAAACTTTATCAATAAACCTATACAACTCACCACAGATGGAAATGAAACTGCTGAATCCACCATCTATGAGACTTACTATAAATTAAATATAAATAAATTTAACAAATATACCTACCCATTTTTTAGCCTAAAGACAGGAAGACAGAAAGAAGTGGGACATGCTTAGCCTTTTCCTGCTGGTCATTTTTTTTTTTTTTTTGCAACATCAGCTGCCAAAACTACTACTCCTTCCATAGGCACACACACATGTTGGTGCATGGTAAAAAGGGAATCCCATCATAAAAGGGCTACTGATGGGAAACAAGGAGTGTTTGCATTATTCAGTACACATCTGAATTTCCATATCAGGGAAGAGGCATCTGAAAGAGGATCTTAAGTATGAAAACAGCAGGTGTGAAAACTCCTTCCATTTCCTTTGGTCAAAACACATGTTCACAATCATGGCTGCAGCTTTACAGCCTCCTAAAAGCAACATTTAAACCCTCAGTGTTCCATTTTGACCTTACCTCTTGGTGACTAAGATGGAAAGTTTCATTGCCCCAGTACCGATAAAGCTCCAAGATACCAATCAAGTCACCAACTGCATTAACAATTGGCAAACAAAGCACAGATTTGATACGCGTCCCTGATTCTAGTCCAGTACCTTTGGGGAAACGCTCATCCTAAAAAGAGAGGCATAGTTTCATGTTAGTGAAATAACATTTGTTTTACTTAGCATTACTACTTGCATTATTTATTTATTTCGTACATTTATACCCCATCCTTCTTAGCCCTGGGTGGGGGGGACTCAGGATGGCTTTACAACAAGCACTCATTCGAGTACTAACCACAGTCATACATACATTTAAAAATGATAATTAAAATACATTACATTAAAAACATTAGATTAAACTCACACCAGTTTAAAAATCATTGTCTGGGACAGTCCATTGGCATACATATTACATTGAGTCTTATCCCAACTTCTACTGCTACTGTTCAAATGCTCGATCCCACAAACAGGTCTTTAGTTTCTTTCCAAAGGGCAGGAGAGAGGGAGCCAATCTGATGTCACTGGGAAGGGAGTTCCACAAGTGGGGGGGCACCACTGAGAAGGACCTATCTCTTGTCTCTACCACTTGCGTTTGCGATGATGGCACAAATTTTTGTCCATTTTGTCTACACACGTTTCCATTATAGAATCTATGAAAAGTCTTCAAACTATTGATCATCTACTCCAAATATTAATAATATATTCCAGAGGAAAAACAATTCATTATTTCCAAAGCCTCACTATTTCATGCTGGGTGGAAGGAAGGCCTTGGTGATTTCATCAACAAGACTACTTTTTCTAACCTCCCCACCTCCTTCTGATTTCAATAGGATGGAAGAACTTACTATGCTAGCTACGTACTGGTCTAGTAAGGGGTCTGTGACAGTTTCCTTTCGTGGGAATAAAATGGCTTTGGAGCCACCGGATTTAAGTGGAATCCATGAAAGACTTCGTGTCAGTTAAAACACTACTGGTAGAAAAACATGGGACCTTGGGATTTCCTAATAATATATTCAGGATCTCCTCGGCATACATGCTATCCTGATCCCATCCATCATGCTAGCTGAATTTCTTTTTTCAAATGAATAGGTATCTAATATTTCATTTTTCCAACTACACACCCAAGCCTTTTTCTAATATACAGATCTCTGTGATTACATTACCATGCCAACCATTTTAAAACAAAACAAAACATTTACCCCTAAAATATCTTCTACTAATAATGTTTCCCTAGATTTGGCTACATAAGCAGATACTGTGGTGCCATGCTGAATAGGCCCTACAGGAACAAGCTGTGGTTGCCCATCCTTGATTCCTGGTGGTGTGAACACACAAAGACTCTAAGAGGAAGAGAGAGAAAAGAATATGCAGTTAAAATGTCGGGCTGCTTCCTCATCATCAAATCATATTTCACTTATCAAAAAATAATCTGAAGTTAGTATTTTATAAATATCTACATAAACACTTGGAAATGCTGAAATATGGTATAAAGGATGATCTTTGTTTTTTGCTTTTTGAAATTCACTATGTTTTTTCTATATGAAGCTTTTCAGAGTCAAAGGAGTTTGGTAAATAATTCAAATGCTTCCTATTCTGATATTCATAATTAAAACAGCTAAGTTCCTTTAACCATCCAGTCATGCAGTAAATGGAACAGGTCATCTGGGTGCAGCCCATTCACAAATATATCTGAGCTGAGGTCCCAATGCACAGTCAGTAATTTAGTTCTAGTGTGAGACTCCAAAGTTCACATCCACATCCCATCATTTACATAATCAATTCACTGATACCATATATGAAACATTTTAATGCTATATTTAATACAGAGGAATTAGTGATACTAATTGTCCTAAAGCACAGATAAATTTTAACTGAGACCAAATGCATGTTGAAGTCATCTATTGAAATATTGTCTCCAGTTCCCTACAGTTGGCAACAAGGCCTGGGTAAAAGAAAATAAAGTGATGTACAGACAGTGGTAATGTCTTAAGCGTGGCCATTCACAGAACCGTTACTGGTGGTAGAATACACATCTTGCCTTGGATGGGCTATTTGATATATGCAGCATCTTAAAAGAAAACCAGCCTTTGTGCATATCCATGCCACAGAAGATAGAACTGAAATGGCTTTCAACATTAAATTAGTTTCCCCAATTCTGCCATAGCTCTAGCATGTTCTTTTCTGATGAAAAAGAAAACTCTGAAAATCCTGAAAGTATGCACATTTTTGTGAACTTCTGGGTGCTGAATAACAATGCTACACTATAGATAGGGATGGGTGGGTTCTTGTTACTAATATTTCCTTTTTATATAATCCAGATCAGGCTTGCCTAACCTATGACCCTCCAGGTGTTTGGGACTCTAAATCCTAGAAGCTCTAGCCAGCTAAAGGTGTTCCCCAACATGTTTCCGGGGGGGGGGGGGCATTCCTAATGTGACACAGTATGCTGCAGTGATTCTAGCCAGCTAAACAGGAATTTTGGAAGCTGAAGTCCATAGCACCTGGAGGGCCACAAGTTGTGCAGGGCTGATCTAGATAACACTGAAATCTATGACTCAAGTTTCTATGGTACATTGATTGTTTAAAGTGTCTGAAAAAGGTGAAATGTTTCCCCACTGTGTGTTCTTGTTGTTGTTTTGTCTATTTCCATTCCTGATGGCAGATGTATGTGCATATATAACCTTGTGTAGATATTGGTGTGAAATGGCAGGACATGGTGAGTTGACGAGTTGATTGAATCATTACAGCAAAGTACTACATCATCCTAAGGATTTCTTCTAACTCAGTTTTTCATTTCATGAAACTTTATGTAAAGTCACTAGATGGCACTGTCTATAAGGAAATACTAAATAAAATGCATTATTTTGCATTCTAGAGCAGCATCCTATGTATTTGAGTTTGTGATTTCTTACAGAGGAAAGCCCCTATGTGAGCATCTACAGAAAGATGTGGTTTCCCAAAGTCATATAAGTATCTATTCTTATTGATTATTTTCAGGTAAATGTACCCCAAGAATTCTGTCAATTTTCTCAACTAATGAGTTGCTATAAATTATTAGGACAAGGGGGTATTAAAATGTTTGAATGTGAAACCACAGAAAACATGATATTAAAATCAGCTAGTATACAAATAAAGGTGATAAAGTTATTATTATGTGCCTGAACTTTTAAATACTCTTCCAACATTTTTTTTCTTTAAAAAGCCCTTGGATAAGAAGATAGGAAATGTTAACATTGTTCAATGGTTAAAAATATTGCTCAGTGGTGAGTAACTATGGAAGGCTAGACAGACTCATTCGCTCTCTGGGAGATCTTGCAGGGCACAGCTGCTCCTGTAAAAAACAACAACTTTTGCCCCGATACAAACCAGAGCTTAACCACCAGTTATCATTGACTGGGTTTACTCCAGTTGAGACTAGCATTTAGATTTGAGCACCAATAAGCAGCAAATCATCAGGTGATGCAGTAATATAAAATTACTTAGCAAATCAATCAGAACTATCTATCTACCACTTGTTAATTATTTTGAACATAGTGATGTAAGGAAAATAGGATGATGACCAGCAATATTTGCATGCTATTTTAATATTTAACATAATGCAACACTTTATCTTGTGGTTCCACACAATATATTTTCCTCATACTATAAGATGTCATGTTCCTCTCCTCTTGGGTATACATCTATCTTAGGGCCTTGGACACATTAGCATTACCTGTGACTCTGTAGACCGGAAATCTGTAAATGCAAATTTATTTGTGCTCAAATGTGCTCACATACATAGTGATGTGCAGCTTAATAGACTCAAAGATAGGGAATACGTTTCAAGAACTTTTGACAAGTATATTAACTGGCTGAAAACCACAGTTTTCAAAATCTAAAAACATGTACGTTAATGTGGAGTATTTTGGAAAGTTAATGTAAAAATATAAGTTTATTTGTAAATGCCCCAAATTTAAATCACCTATAAATGTAATATCTGCATTTGCTGAAGGGCATCATCATAACTTATAGTAATGCATAATAATCCTCTGTTGAACTTAGTTGAGTATAATACTTAAAGCAACTTTAAAAGGGACATGCTTCTTATAATAGATAGTTTTCCAAGCTTATACTTACATTATTGCAGTCAGCTAGGAAATACAGTGCAAATCCATCAGCATTTGTAGCTGCCAAAGCAACAATTTTAAAAGAGTGTTAAGAATAATATTATACAAACTCTCTTCTTAGTGTTTCAAAATTAAGCCATTGTTTGTATTATGCACCTGTACTAGGAATGTGAAGTCCTATAACATAACCAAAACTATGCACTAATGTATTACGTGAATTTGTAATTCTTCTGAAATAAAATGTGTATTAAGAATTATGTTTTTTTTTAAATTGTTTGTACTGTTCTAGAGCAAATGTGAGCTAAATATTCAAATCCAAGTCAGCTACCAAGTAGAACATTTTTCTACAATTGTCTTCAAGGATTAAGTGAAAATATACTTTGAGATGCAGCCACAATCCAACAGTATACTCCCAATGGATTCCAGTTTCTGCAGAAATCAGACACATGAATATAAACACAATGCACTCTAAAAATGAGTTGTTGTAGAATATTTCTCTGAAACCAAGGGGAACTATATCTGGAAGGAGAAGGAAAATAAAGTCCCAATTTCACCAGTATTACATTGCAAAGCACACTGTTAGATCATGGCCAAGTGCATGGACACATGTGTATAGGCATAACTGGAAGAAAACTGGAAAAGTTGGGAGTGGAGGTAATGGAAAGGAAACTAAGAAATACATTTTCAATACATTCAGTAGCTCCAGGGCAACCCATAACTCCTTTGCATCATTTCCCAAACAATGCTTGTTAACTCTGAATCCCCTCATTCTTTGCAACACAGAACTGTAGTCATGGTGGAAGAAAAGAGAGTTTCTTGAAAATCCGCATCATGTGAGTACAATTTATAAAATTAAATTCAGTAAGTTTATATAATTCATGCCATTTGTATTTAATCCATGTGTGTGTTCATTTATATTTGGCCCTTCAATATTTCATGCAAACAAGTCACTGTAATCCTAAAATATCTAAGATATCTAAAATGAGAAATCTAATATAGAATTGCACATCTAAAATTCCAAATATCTAAATTCATATATTACAGAAATTTACTACAATTCCACAAAAACAACATCAAGAACAACTCATAACCCAATTGAAGCCAGAATGGATGTAAGAAGCCAGAATGGATGTCCAAAGAACTTCTAACTGTGCTGAGACAAAAAAGAGACATGCACAAGAACTGGATGGGTTTGTACACAGAAATGTGGTCACGCAGGTAGGCAGGTCCCAAACTGTTCAGGGCTTTGTAGGTAAGAATCTGCACCTTGAATTGGGTCCGGAAAATAAATGGCAGCCAGTGGAGCTCCTTAAACTGGAGGGTTGACTGCTCCCTGTAAGGAGCACCAGTTAACAACCTGGCCACCACCCGTTGGACCAACTGAAATTTCCGAGCCGTTTTCAAGGGCAGCCCCATGTAGAGTGCATTACAGTAGTCCAATATGGAGGTGATTAAGGCATGGACCACCCTGGCCAGATCTGCTTTTGCGAGGTATGGTCACAGTTGGCGCACAAGTCTTAATTGTGCAAAGGCCCTCCCAGCCACCGCCGATGCCTGTGCCTCAAGCGTAAGTGATGAGTCCAGGAGGACACCCAAACTGCGGACCTGTGACTAGTTTTCCATAGACTGCTACCATATCGGTGCTCATTAACTAGATACGAGTTTTTTTCTTTCTTTCCCAGAAACTTCCCAGGAACTCACAACTGATGGCTTGTAAACTGTCAGTGCTTCAGGGACCACTGATTTAAGTAGCACTGGGTCAAGGGGCAAGACTGGCAGGGAAGAAAGAAATAGATGGTCCTGGTATGCATTTTGTGTAAAGTAACAAAATATATACAGTGGTATCTGTTCAGGTTTTATTCCAAGCCCTTGATGGATAGCAAAATCTATAGATACTCAAGTCCTATTATACTATGTAACATTTTTTTGTTCCTGGATTATAAATGTCATTTCCTAATTGGTTCTATAATAAAAGCATGAAAAATTAAACCTGCACAAACTTTGTTTTTGCGGGACATCCTGCAGCATATTTTGCGATAGTTTTTCAATATATTGTCGAAGGCTTTCGTGGCCGGAATCACTGGGTTGTTGCTATATGGCCATGTAGATGCGGGGAATGCCGTGGATGTAGCGTACCTGGATTTCAGTAAGGCCTTCGACAAGGTCCCCCATGACCTTCTGGCAAGGAAACTAGTCCAATGTGGGCTAGGCAAAACTACGGTGAGGTGGATCTGTAATTGGTTAAGTGGACGAACACAGAGAGTGCTCACTAATGCTTCCTCTTCATCTTGGAAAAAAGTGACAAGTGGAGTGCCGCAGGGTTCTGTCCTGGGCCCGGTCCTATTCAACATCTTTATTAATGACTTAGATGAAGGGCTAGAAGGCATGATCATCAAGTTTGCAGACGACACCAAACTGGGAGGGATAGCCATTAGCCAATAGTCCAGAGGACAGGAGCAGAATTCAAAACGATCTTGACAGATTAGAGCAGTGTTTCTCAACCTTCCTAATGCCGTGACCCCTTAATACAGTTCCTCATTTTGTGGTGACCCCCAACCATAAAATTATTTTCATCACTACTTCATAACTGTAATTTTACTACTGCTATGAATCGTAATGTAAATTGTATTTTTATTTTTACTCACTGGACCAAATTTGGCACAAATACCCGATACGTCCAAATTTTATTACTGGGGTGGTTTGGGGGAGGGAGTTGATTTTGTCATTTGGAAGTTGTAGTTGCTGGGATTTATAGTTAATCTCCAATAAAAGAGCATTCTGTACTCCACCAATAATTGAATTGAACCAAACTTGGCACACAGAACTCCCATGAACAACAGAAAATACTGGAAGGGTTTGGTGGACTTTGACCTTGAGTTTTGGAGTTGTAGTTCACCTACATCCATGCACAGACCATTGTGGACTCAAACAATGATGGATCTGGACCAAACTTGGCATGAATACTCAATATGCCCAAATGTGAACACTGGTGGAGTTTGGGGAAATTGGACATTGACATTTGGGAATTGTAGCTGCTGGGATTTATAGTTCACCAACAATCAAAGAGCATTCTGAACCCCAGCAATGATAGAATTGGGCCAAATTTCCCACAGAAAACCCCCATGACCAAGAAAAAACA